GATCTTGTCTGAGGCCCACAACACTCTATCATAGCATTATTTTGTACAAGTCCTTTTTTGTTGTGGTTGAAAGATGTATGAAGTGCTGCGTGTAACCAAAGCAACGTTTGTCGCTGTATTCTTCCCCCTCCTTTAGTTGTTCGCCATTCCAGCGTTTTACTTTGAAAAGACGCGCCGGAAAAGGAAAGTTTTCTGTGCGCTAGCTTTGATAGCGCCCGCCGAGGCCAGCCTCTGTGAGCTCCAGCAGGAACTGTAGCCTCTCTTCTCTGGGCGGTTCCAGTCTCAAAAGAGACGTTCAGAAAGCTCACCAACAAAACTATCAGCTCAGACACAAACATGGCGCCTGCCTCCGCCGTCAACTTCAGATGAAAGTGTGGCGAAGAAGTGGCCTGCAAAGTTTCAAAGGACTATTTCGAAGTGGCTTTTTTTTCTTTTTTTTAATGCGCTGTCCTGGTTTGACCCGTTTCGGTTTGCACAAATAGAAATACGGAATATATCAAGCGGGTAAAAGCAGCAAGTTGCCTACATGTCAACATTGTCCCTCGCTGCAGTGTAAACAGCTGGTAAGTGCTTTTTATTTGTTGGAATATGAAAGTAGCCGAGGCTTAGCTTAGAGTTTGTCGCGGGGAATTAAAAAACAGTAGTGAAAGTTTTAAGCTGACTTTAGTGTAAGTAAGGTCACCCGCTGGAAATACGTGTTCCTGGTCTTCCGTTGCTGCGGTGTGCCTACACTTTCCATCCATCGTTTGTTATCCAACCGCGGAAAGAGACGCGGCCACGTATCACCACCGGCTGATAACAGGGGGAAACGGCTTTTGTTTTACCCGGCGGTGATGTGTATTTCCTGCACGAAAGTTGACCTAGTTATGGGTCGGATGCAACAGTTGGGAATATAACACCCCCCCTCCTCCTCCTCCTCCTCAGATAATCAGCCTCTGCTCCTCTCCTGGAGCCTGCCTAACCTTGCAGGTGTCTCCCCTCAGACACACTCACTCACACAGTTTTCAGCTTCAAATCAAAAGAGACGTGTAGAAAAGAGAAGACTTATCAAGGGAGAGGGGGGGTTTCAGTGCTCTCCCCAAGATAAGGAACTGTTAACCTGACTTCCTTTTGCGCATGTGGCTTTTCTTTTATCCACTGTCTCTCTCAGCGCCTGCATTGGTGTGAACCTAAACCGAGGAGTTGTGCAGGATGCCTCTGTGGGTTTTACTGTGTGGAGTGAGCACCAATGCCATTGAATGCGATGCCGAGCTGCTCACATATCTATGCCTCAGCAACTTGCCTGTTTGCCGGCGAGCAGCAAGTCTAACCCTTAAGGGCAGCCGAGCACTAACCGCTCCAGCTTCCCATCACCGTTTTGGTGATTCATGGCACGCATGTGATGTTCCTGTTATGACAGCCGTGGCACAAGTCCCAGCAGAGCCGAGGATAGCACTTCCTCTTGCGTTGTACCGTATAGACGGCATTCGTGTTTGCATCGAGCTGTTTTCACCACCTGAGACAGCAGCAGGAGTGTCGGATCGTGACAGAGAGAAGCGGAGGGAGGGAATTGTGGAAATTGCTCTTGCAGAATTGCATCAGTACTGAGCCGCTGACACGTGGAAACACAGCAGAAACATTTCTTTCTTGACCTTGGCCTGACAGCGGCTGGGAAAGGGGAGTGTTGCCTCCTACTAACTGCTACAGGCAGCAGGTATAAAGTAGGTCACGGCTGCACTGTGGCTTTGTGTACATTGAACTTGCACTTTGTCACCACCGCCGGTCGTCCAAAGGCTCTGTCAGGTGACCAAGGAAAGGAAGTAGATAGGCCAAGGGAGCAGCGACAGCGAGCGGAAGGCCTCTGTGGTTGCCTAGGCAAAAGTCAACTTGGATTTCGATGAGTGTGAGAAAAGCCGGTAATTGGTTGTGTTGGGACGGTGACAGGAGTGTTTCTCAAGAGCTTCAAACGCGCTTTGACTGGCGGTTAAACTCCTTTCAGAGCTGGGCTGAATCGGCTGCTCTTCTCAGCAGCAGAAAAGCAGCGATTGAAATTAAATTGAAACCTCAGCTTCATTCAGCGCTTATAGTTTGACTGACACTTTGAGCTCGAACTGCATTGCCACTGTTCACACACTCCAACTGCTTTCAGTGCTTCCACTTCAGGCGACACTTTACACCAGTTTTCTTGAACTGGCACTAATTTTCACTTGGACTGACGCTTCATCTCCTTTCAGAGCTTGAAGTTCCAACAGAAACTTTAGCTCAAAATGTCTTTAGAAATACTGTAGAAACAGGCGACCTGTGCTGTCTGTAGATACAATGGCTCATTCTAAGGTAACAGAAACACAACCATTTATTCCATTTCTGCCAATATTCTCTCCTAAATCTTCCACACTGGACCTTTTTTTAACTGTGTATGTTTTTTGTTAGTTGTGCAGAGTCTGTGATCACCATCAGCAGCACAAACGCATCCCCAGATCTGGTAGGGAGTCATTGTCTGGCTCAAGGACGCTTCAGCAACCCTGATCTTCTTTCTCACCATTGCTATTGCAGTTACAAATGTTTCTTACATGGTGTTCCTGCTTAATTAGCCAGAAATAAGTGCGGATTGTATACCGAGACCAGTCCTTTGGCTCGCGGAACCAATACCTACCTGAAACACTTGAGTGACTTTTGTTAAGCTGCCTGTTTGCATATCTTAGAACATATTAACAGCAGATAGTCATTTGTGGCCAAAGAGCAACAACAAGGATCTTGTAATCCAGCCAGAAACCTTCTCAGGTAACCCATTTCCTTCCTCTGACCCCTTGTACGTCGGTGAGATGCGCCAGTAGTGTTCTAGTGTTCGTCTTTCACTAGGCCCGGGGTCTGAGCTGGTATAGGCCCAGCTAGTTAGAGAGGGCAATGAGTTTGCCCTCTCTCCCTTCTCCTTAGAGTGGAAAGAATGCTCTCTGTCCGCCGGGCTGTCACGCTCCAGGAGGGAGGCAGTCTTGTGACGTTTCTGCTGAGCCGAGCCTCACCGCCCCGAGCTGCCTCTCATCCACCAACCTACCCAGGGCGTTTTTTATTAGATTTAAAAAAATAAATAAAAATAACACTGTCTTTGTCTAACCTTCTTCTCACACGTGCTGCTGTCGGCTGTGCAGGTTATAATAAAAGGTTGTTAAGGTTTGTGCTACCTCCCTTAGTCGCTGGTTGCTGCCGGTTGCTTTGATGTTATCTCAACAAACTATCAAACAAGGATCAAGTGCTGCTGTATTGACCAAGATTTACAGAGATAAAATACTAGAGGGGACTGTTTTGGTAGAGCCTTTGTGACAGCTTCAGTGTGTTAGTGCTGAAACGCTTGCTCAGTTAGTTAATGAAGTTTTAATAAATTATATATCAAATAGAACAAACATTTACTGGTTACAGCATCAAATATGTGGTTTTATGTTTTAGAAAATGTCTTATTCTTGATTGGCATATTTACTAAGCAATTTGAAGTCAATTGTTGACTTGTAAATGGACATTTGTCATCATTTTCAGTGTCATAGATTAATCACTATAAGTGCAAGAATTTCCATTGAACATATTCATGCATTAAAAGTCATTAATTGCAGCTTTAGTATTTAGTTTTCATGGATCATTCCTGTTTTTTAAATGAGAACATGTTTTGTTTAAACCTTGCAAATACCAGGACAGTATTACAGTGACGTGTCGGACATGTTATGCTCAAATTAGAGCTTAGAAAATTTAAGCAGAACAGACAAAAATGAGAAACGGTGTGTGTTACCAGTGTGATTTGGCAGTCGGGTCCCTGTTCTGAGGGTGTGTTGATGACTGTCCTCAGTCCCTAAATGAAATTAGACTTTACGTATTGCCTCTGTATTTAAAAAAAAAAACAAAACCAAAAAAACCCAACCATCTGCCAGCATTAAACAAACACAAGTGAGGAACAGAGTTCACCGTTGGTCTTTTGCTTTGTCCAGGCCGTGTTGAGCGAAAGAGACGCTGTTAGCATATGGATATGATAATGCCAGGCTATCACACAGGCTTATCTGGAGCCAAAAAGCAGACAGACTGTGAATGCTCCACCTCTCCCATATTCTGAACAGCAAATATTGAACAGTTAAATATATTTCCTGCCTTTTATCAAGCGCACTTAGGCATTTTTGTCGGCATTCTGACTTATTTTTCTCTATCGTAAACTGAAGGCTGATGCAGCTCACGCCACAAAGTCAGGCTGTTCTCATCACAACACACTGTTAAGATTAATTAGCAGGGTGAGGTATTTACAGACCATAGTTTAACAGCCAACTATGCACTCACACACACATACTGTGTGCATGTACCATATGAATTCAATCAGACAGAAACTCAACTGGCTTTGTCGATCCCCCCTCAAACCCCACGTTCCTTGGTTTTCTGTGGTCACTGCCTTGTAAAATAAAGGGTTTGTCAGCTCATTGGCACCTCACACTCAGTCTGGCCTTCACCGCCGACAGCACGCTGCGATGACAGGTGTCAGGCAGCGCCACTTTGCTCTTAAGATCCTCCAAAGCCTAGAGCTACAGAGTGGCACTTAGGGCAGACACTGGTGGTGGCTGCAGAAGCAGACACACCGTGGCTTAGCGGCTGCCGCTGAAGCTGAAAGGGTCATTTGTCGGAGGCTATTACAGCTGAAACGAAATAGCATTTTCCTTTACAGTTTTGTGCCTTGACTAACTTTTGTGTCACTAGCTTTCAGGAGTGATTTTAAGTGCACTTCAGCAGCCTTGATGCATGAAGATGAATCAGTAGCACTTGCACAGAAGCCCCACATACATGTACACTTGTTACCATAGCAGGGTTGGTGCGAGAGATCAGCCTGCCCTGCTATTTATAACCAAGGATCGGCCCGCTCCCTAGCACAATTACTGCATCTGTACACACTTGCGACATTGCTTTTTTATTCTCATCGCAGTGTCCAAGGTTCAGTACGTGACAATTGCGTGTGTCATGCTCAGCTGCTGTTTTAGGCAAGCTGTGAGTGGATCTGCGTGGTGGGGCTCCTGCTGAAACAACCGAGACAGACACAGCACTGTCTGTTGTGCAGCATTACACACACAAACACACAGACTTGTGCATGCGCGCACACGCAGGCGGGCTCTTTCACCCCTGGGGAACAAGCCTCCAAGCTCTTTTGTGTGAAAGGGATGAGATCATTGTGGGGCAGACCATGGGGGGATGGAGTAAGGGGCTCCGCTCTGTGTACTTAAATAGAAAAACCTCTGTTTCTGTCTCAGTGTCTTTCTTTTCATCCTTCTGTCCCCCTTAATTTGATGAATGAATTTGGTAGCGTTGGAAATGAAAGGGCCGGCCAGGTGAATGCCATTAACACCACAAGTGCTAAAAGTGAACAAACATCAGGTTTGGTACACACATTCGAGGATTAGGGCCTCCGCGGTTTCATTTATGGCAGCTAGAGAGTTTTCCTCTGCCCTCAGGGGTTGTTGGGCTGCAACCTTTTGGCACTTTTGCAAGCAAGTTAAGACCCGTGCCACCGTCAAGGAACAAGACCTTCCAGTGCTGTGGCCTCGAAGGCTGATCCACTCGGGGTTTT